TTTTAAGCCCGGACCGGGTGCCTCAAGATTTGTCATACTTTTAAAGAGTGCTGTGACAAAAAAAAAGGTTGATATAGGAAAATGGGGAGGGGGTGATCCATTCTTGGTGTGACATTCTCTAGGTACAGCACATTATTTAATTTTTTTATATCTATCTACAATTTTCTAACCACACTAATATACCATGATCTATAGTTATAATATTTATCGGGGTTCCCTAGGACCTGAAAATGTTTTTAAGGGTTCCTCCAGGGTCAAAAGGTTGAGAAATGCTATCATAACTTTTGTTGGAAGTAACGAGATGTCATGTGCTTATTGAAGTCAACAATGTGTTCCACAGTCTGACATCTGTAATACATATATCAGCACAATTAAAGTGTACCTGTACTGGGCAAAAAATGTATTCGTATCAGCTAAGGATAATACTTGTGTGTTGGAATGTGCTTTGCTTATCACAGTTGGCTTCCTGATGACGCCTCTGGATAGTTTTATGCAGATAGCGACTTTCTGAAAGCTGGTATTTGCATGGATTAAGATGTGTCCCCTTCACACCCCACTTGATAGCCCCCGAACCTGGCAATAGATCAGTGTGGACTTTTCTATGGACACTAGCAACTCTGCTAGCAGTCTGATTGTGACAAGCAAGATATGATCTCATTATAGTGCCCACCATCCATTACTTATCTAACTTGAATACCTTTTTTTTTTTTTTGCAAATACAGGTTCACACTTTAGCATTGTGTGTCTTGTTTTTGTCTAGCATTGAATACAGCGCACTTTGTGTATTTCTATATAAGCTTTTCAAATGCTGTTTAGTGTTATGCAGTTAAAGGCACATTTCTGTCAAGCTGTTTAGACTTTGAGTTTATAATTAATGCATATCTGTAGTGCCCTGGACACCCCACTCCCATTTGTCAGTTATCCAATGACCTGGGAACCCTATAAGTTTACTGGTTTGGGCAGAGGAGGTATCACAGAAAACGCCCACTCTCTGCCATACGAAACAATTGACATGTTAGGATCACCCTAACCGTCCCCTCCGCTCCTCCCAAGACCTCCTGCTTTCTAGCTCCCTCGTCAACACCTCCAATGCTCACCTCCACGACTTCTCTAGAATCTCTCCCATTCTTTAGAACTCCTTACCACAACCTGTCCGTCTATCTCCTACTCTGGCTGCCTTTAGGCAATCACTAAAGACTCATCTCTTCAGGGAAGCCTATCCCCCCCCCTCCCTTAGACTGTAAGCCCTCACGGGCAGGGCCCTCCTTGCCATTGTGTCTTGAATTGTAATTATAATGTTATAAACTGTTGGTGCTATATAAATCCTGTATACCGTAATATTATTTATTATTAACATGTCAAGGTGTCAGCACTTCAAGGTTTCAGCCACCGGTCAGCTTTGGAAGTTTTAAATATAATTGGTGAGATATGAAGCAGAGAAAACAGAAGTAACCCAGTTCAGGGATCAGGAACCAATTCCTACCACGTAACACGCGTGGAGCTCTGTGAATGATGAATCGCATTTATTAATAGAATTATCATCCTCCCATTTGCGACCATCCTCAGAAAACTTTATATTGGTTGCATGTATTTATTAAACCAATATAAACCTTTTAGGGAATTGTCACAATATTTAAAGTCCGTTAGGAGCAGTAAAACAAAGTTATGCGCAACGTAAAACATTACATGTAGAGGTAAACCTTGAATGGAGGTATTGCTTTGGGCACCAGAAGGTTGCATGCCTACAGGCTCGGGTGATGGCAATCCAGCTCTAACCCAACTCGGTATTCAAATATTGACTTTCCGCACCAGAGTCAGAGCTCCGGCATGCAAACCTCTTTGTTGGTTGAGAGTGGAAATTGGGTTGCAAGAGGTCAGTTGTCTGAGCTTCAGGATAACATTTATAAATTGAACTCTCTGGTTTTAAGGGTAAACCTCAATAGAGTATGTGCAGACACCTGCATTAGATTATATTTACAGGGTTACTTTAAGTGAAGATGTCACAAGAGGTATAGAAGCTGCCATTGTCCAGGTCCAAGCTTTGATCTTGTCGTCCTCCTTTTGGCGATCTGATAAGTATATTCCATCACACTCTTGGCCATAGGATCACAAATGGAACGATGGTGGATGCTGCAGTGATTAGCGGATGGCGCCACATTAAGAGCAATGAAAAGAAGAATCACCAGCACTCCAACAGTGAAACGGTGTTAGTCTGATGAAGGCACCCCACGTGGCCACAAAACGTTGTTTGCTTTGTGATAATGTGAACATGCTACAATAAAAAGACGTACTGTTTCACTGTTGGAGTGCCGGTGATTCTTCTTTTCATTCCTCCTTTTAGTGAGTCACTATCTTGGAACAGGAATGCATGTCCTGACTTCACTGAATGGTAGTTACGCGCTATTTTCCCTGACTGGTCCTGATGGTGGCAACAAAATGTCAGCATTTACACACTGAATATGCCTCTTTGGGGTTGCTGCAACTACTTTTAAGTCAATGGAGGTTACGTGACCATAACTGAAGGGGGACAGGCAAAAGCGGCTTACGTTCAAATGAATTCAGCTGGAATTTAAGATCAGATTCAGACAATTCTCAGGCCTAGGGCTGTGTGTTGGCTTGGTGTAAACCAAGTTGGCCCAATCCGTTATGACCGGGGCATTCTCCACCCTACAGCTACAGGTAACAAAGGGGGCAGTGAATGCCCCTGCCACAGATGATTGGACGGGGGGGGTCATTGACATTTTGGTGAGGGCTCAGGCAAGCATGGTTTGCACCAAGCCCACACACATTTCCTACTCAGATCGTTCAGAATTAATTAACAGGTTTATTTGATATTCAGTTGACCTGACCACCTCCTAAGCTGCATCAACGTACAAGTTGCTTTTCCATTCCTATTGACTTGTATGGCGCAACCAGCCGTTCTGATGCCAACAAAAGCCCATTGACACAGGCCCTTCAGGTGTCTTCTATTCCAAGCTAATGCTGGTTCATATTGTGTTGATGACAGGTTCACTTTAAAATTTATATTTCATTTAAAATCGGGTACACTTGTTGCATTTGTCTATGTTGCCTTTACCTCCTCCTTCCTTGTTTCATATATGTGTGTAACCTCTAAGGAAATTGCCACATGATGTTTATGCTTGTTCTGCAGGGTGCTGTGCCGCTTATACCTACATTAAGTGAATATGGAGCTGCAAGGGTTAACTAACCGGCCTACAAGGCGAGTGTGTTGGTGATGGCTGACGTCAGCTAATTAGTAAACCACTCGGGGGATTTAAAGGTTTTATTTACCAGTACTTGAAAGAAACAGAAATGGCAGTCTTGACCGTTTTCTGAAAGTACGTCTCATTATTAATTGTGTCTTTTATACTGCTAATCAAAAGCTTAATCTGAAGTGTTTACTGGAAGTGACCTGAAGTTTGCAGATTTCGTAATCCATTTTTAAGCATCTGGTCCTTACCAGTAGTTTATTAATCCCACTGCGCATTATGTACAGTGTAGCGAGTTTGTTTTCTTGTATGATTAGATATTATTTGTAGACTCTGATTTGGGTCTCTGGGACACTGGCAATACAGAGGTATATTTTCAGATGCATCAAGTGGTTGTAGCTGTCATTGCAATAGCGTGTGTGTGTGTGTGTGTGTGTGTGTGTGTGTGTGTCTTCCGTCCTCGGTAAACTCCAGCTGAATGGATCTGGTTCAGCATGCAGTGCAGACTGAGCACAAAGAAGTGCCCTACTGCTGGAATCCACTCTGTT